AGAATCCTTATAAACTGCTTTTTTAAAAAAACGCGTTATAGTTATACAACCCACATGCGTTGAATAAGTTTAATTAGTCAATTATCTTTTGTGCTTGGTCATCATATGGAATTGCTATGGATTTTTATTTTGTTTTATGGTTTCCGACTTTGTTATTATTTTCTTTTTTTTCTATTTTGCTTATTTTCCGGCATTCATTGTTCTTTGTTATTGTATAGTTTCCGGTATATATTTTTTTCTATTTTAGTTTCGGAACAATTAATGTTTAGACTAATTATATATGTTTTTTTTAACAGTATAAAATTTCTTAAAGTCAGATTGTACCATCATAATACAGGGTATGATTACAATATTTTTCTCCTTTTACCAGTTGTTTTTTTTTGTGCGCTAATTAAATTTATTGGAAAATCTTTTTTAAATTTACTTGAAAATCAAAACATTTCTTTAAAATTATGCGTCTAATTAAAAAAAAAGAAAATGCGGAGAATCTTTGATGTTAGTGATGCAGTGATGATTATTTAGTAATGATCATTTGATGATGATTAGATTATAACTTTGTGGATATATATATATATATATATATATATATATATATATATATATATATATATATATATATTTATATATATATATATATATATATATATATATATATATATATATATATATATATATATATATATATATATATATATATATATATGAATAAATATGTTTGTGTGTATTTGTGCGTTCGTGTGCGTGCATGAGCGTGTGTATATAAAAACTAATACTATTAAAATTTTTTTTAGTTCTTTAATTTTTTTTCGTAAAATTTATTTACTGAATAGCATTATTATCATTTTCTCCTTCTTTTTATAAACTAGGCATAACCTTTCTTTTCATTGACGAAACAGAAATAATTGATTTAAATAAATTCATTAATTAAGATATAACGTTTAAATCCATTTACCCACAACCTTTGTTGGTTGAAAACAAAGTCATTGGTGTAAAATATAAACAGAACAATCTTTTAAAAATTTAGGCAAACTAAAAACAGTTATTTTTTGAAAAAAGATTTATCTTTTTATAAAAAAAAACCAAAAAGAAGCATAAGTTTATTTATTATACGACTAATTTCGTTGTTTTTGTTTTTTTAACGCAAAACATTCTGTTGACTTTCTTTTAACCATTTTTATACAAACAAAAATTTAAGTTTCAGCTTTTCATGTCAAACTTCATGTCAATTTTCATTTTATTGTCAAATATTTCAATACAGCTTTAACTGGTTCGGAAGAAAAGACGTTTGAGGTATGTATTTCATTCAACTACTTTTTTCTATCACTAACTATATTCATTACTTTATTTTCAGACCGCAAGATTCGTCGATTGTATTTTATAAATTGAGTTTAAATATAATTTCGGTTGTATTAAATAAACTTCATCATGGAATCTTTCATGGAATTTTTTATAGAATCTTCATCATGGAATCTTCTTTATTCCAATAAACTTTTGAATTATGAGGCCATCATCATTTATATAAAACTAAATACAACTCATGAAAACATCATATAAAGTTTATAAAAAAAAACTTTATAAAAAAAAAACTTTATAAAAAAAAAACTTTATAAAAAAAAAACTTTATAAAAAAAAAACTTTATAAAAAAAAAACTTTATAAAAAAAAAACTTTATAAAAAAAAAACTTTATAAAAAAAAAACTTTATAAAAAAAAAACTTTATAAATAAAAAACTTTATAAAAAAAAAACTTTATAAAAAAAAAGCACGATTAAGATTTTAACACGACACCTATTTAATAAAAACTGTCTTCACTGGATTCATGAGAACTGTCTTCACTGGATTCATGAGAATATGTGGCAATTTTTTTAAATTGATAAAAAATAACGCAAAATTTGAGCTTTTGATAAATGTTTGCATTTATATGTATATATTTATGACTGTGTACTCACAAAATTATGTATGAACGTACTCATGTAGATGAATGTTTGCACTTTTATGTATGAGTAAGTGTACTTGTAAGTAAATAATGAAAAATGAACGTATTTTTTAAATGAGACTTGGTAAATTATTAAACAATTTCGTGGTAAGTTTTAAAATCTTGAGATGTAAATTACAAATAAGAATACGAATGTAATGAAGTTTCCAAAACTGTATTATGTAGCATATAAAAAAATATATATATAAGGTTTTAAACACATATAAACTATATAACCTAATATTACCCTAAACTAAATATTTTAAAAAATAAATGTATTTTTTTATCGTGTATTGATAAAAGTGATAATCTATAATTTTAAAATGATAATTAAGTTATTAAAAATTCTTCTCTCTTTAAATCTCTTCAAAATTCAGATTTTATAATAATTTATAACTAATAGTTATTTTAAAATAAAAAAATTGAAGTTATCAACTATTAAGTTCAATTATATATATATATATATATATATATATATATATATATATATATATATATATATATATATATATATATATATATATATATATATATATATATATATATATATATATATATATATATATATATATATATATATATATATATATATATATATATATATATATATATATGTATACAGACACACACACATATAAATCTTAAATATAAAAAACTCTAAAATAAAATTTGTTTACTTTTTTAATAAGAAAAATACAAGGATTTCAGAACTGTTTACCTAAAAGATAATAATGGCGTCATGATTATTGCATGAAGTTATTAAAACTTCTATTCTTCAGCAAACATTTAAAATTTACGGGATCTTTAGTTAAAGATTTTCTATTAAGAAAAAAAAAAAAAAATTAAAAAAGAAATTAAAGAATTCGTTGAGTAATAATTAAACTAAAATAAATCTTTATTTTTATTTACTTGATGATATTTAATTGTGCTTTACTAACTGTTTTATTTCCAGATTTTTTTTACAATTGACATATCGTTGATTAAATTTTAAAATATGTTATAGCAATGACGTGTATTTAGCGATGACAAACTCTATTCAAAGTCGACCAAAATCTTATTTTATGACAACACGTGGACGAATATGTAACGAGATAAAAATTTAAAGACATTGGAAAAGTTCTTTAAACCAACATTATTTATAAGTAGAATAAGCCAAATAACTAATATTAAAAAAGAAATTAAAAACGAAAAATATTTTTAAACTTTGCAAACAAACAAATTGGCACGCTGAATTTTTTTTGTTTAATTTAGCTGAAATGGCTGCAACTGCGGTGTTTTTTATGCTAACAATTCTTAACGGAACTTTTTGCTATAGTTTACAGAAAAAAGCCGATCATCAAGTGATCAGTTTGCCGGTAAGTTTTGATTCGAATTTTAGAAACCGCAATGTGGAATTGCAATTATCTGATTCAATATGGAAAAAGTCCGATTCAAGAAAAATGGAACAAAATTTTAAAGAAATCAGTAATACGAATAAGGATACCAAATCACAATGATTAAAACAAAACTATTTTACCAAAGAAGAGTGGAACATTTCAACGATGGCAACGCCATTTCATTGCTAGCTCCGTGATTGATTACCTCTGTAACTTTCGTACAAAGAAAAAATCTTATTAGTATAAATGTGTATATATATAAAAAAGAGAAATCTGCAAGGTTGCAACAATGAAGCTTAATTGTCTTTATAAACAAGTTTTAACGAACATCACTACAAACTAAAAAAAAAAACGTGTCAAGAAAGTTAGTATTAATAAAAAAATGTTCCCTTGTTACTACTTATTTTATTTATAATATTTTTCAAAGCTGATAGTGGTACTGTAGTTGTAATTTTTTTTTTTAAGTTTCTGTTTTTTTAGAGGTTTTTTTTTTTTTTTGAATGTTTCAATGAAATGTATTTTATTTATTGAATTTAATTTTAATTTTAGAACAATAACTTTATTTCTTATTACTTTTCTTTTATTTATTATTATTATTTTTTGAAATCTAATGCTTTCTCCCCCTAAACATAAAAAAAAAAAAATTAAAAAAAAAAATTGATCAATAAAAATATCAGAAGTACCAACTACTTACATTTTAACAGAGAATCTTTACATTTTAAGTACTTCTTCTATTTCATTTACATTTCAAAATTGTGACCAAATCATGAAAAGTGAACAAACAATAAAAAATTAATTAGTTTATTTCACTTCACATTATGCAACTAAGTAACGTAAATTAATTTAAAATATTTTTAATTTTATATTTTTAATAATAATCCTAACAAATCGCGTTAAAACAATATTATCCATTTTTTAACGTTATGAGAACTTAACTTTCGATTTTTAATTATTTAAATGTTTTACAGTTGTTGTTTATATTGATAGAATATATGTTTTTTATGTTATTTATGATTTATAATTAAACTTACATTATTAATTTATTAATTCCAACTTTTTTAAATAATATTAAATCGGCATTGAAAAAACAAAAACTAACAATTTTTAAAGTTATATAATTAATAATAATAAGGTTAACATGTTCAAACTATATAATTTTGAACACAAAAAAAATATTATAACTAAATATAGAAAATTAAATTTTTTTACTATGAAAATTTGGAGATAGAACCTTATTATTTTTATCTATGCTATTTTGTCTTATATCAAATTATATTACTTAATAAATAATAATGTGTATTCTAAGCAATAAATTTAACAAGTTTGATATTTTAATCTTTTAATTAAACGAATTTAACAAGTTTTTACTTTTAGTTTTAAAAATTTAAGAGTATAACAAATTTTGTTATACTCTTTTAAATTTTGTTTAGCAGTACAAAAGAGAGATAGAACCCTAATATTCTAACGTCACAAAGTATGAGAAACGTGCAAATAAAAAATTATAATTTACATCTTAACCAGTATAAGAAAAATGCAAATAAATAGAGTTAAAATTCGAGCACAAGGTATCCGCTTATAAGATATGAAAATAATAACCCAATGTAATTAAAAACAAATTTTAATTTTTATTCTTTATAACTACTAAAACCTTTCTAGAAAAAAAATTCGTTGTACAAAATACATTAATAAATTAGTATTAAATAGAAAATAATAATTTTATATTTGAGGTTTTCTATATAAAGTTCGTTTATTGAACACATGTATCACGAATTTAATAGTTTTAAAACCATCCATTTAAATGATGATCTATTTAAATGATGGTCCATTTCAAAAACGTCCAAGTTTTTTATATGGGAGCAGTAGGAATAGACGTTTTTTCATTGAGTGCTCATCAGTTTAATAATCTTATAAAGCGAAAACCTTTAAGCTGTGAACTCATTAATTGTAGATGGTACACTTCAACAAAAATTCAAGGGGATAAAAAATTTATCGGTTATCCAAGCTGTCTTACTTTTTTTTTCATGAAGCAGAAATTTTTTTTTCATGAAGCAGAAAATTCTTTAACGTTAATGCAAGTTATTGTACTTTTAGGAGGTTTATTTATTTTAAAACCTTCCCTAATTTTATTTTCGCTTTTATAGTGATTAAAAAACGCTTTTACTGCAATACTAGGTACACTAGGTACGGTAAATATGGAATTCTCTTCAACGTCAATACTTCCCGTAGAAGTTAATTGATATTTTATTTCGTAATAAGATTTTGTCCCAAAAATATCTGATATCCACTCGTCGCTAGTTTTTCTATTACTTACGTCATTGTCAAAATGAACTGCCTTGTGGTCCAAAGAAAACGTGTGGTTTACACAATTTAAAGATTTCTGTTGATCGGTAAATCTAGTACTGCTATTTATAGGAAACAAATTTGTATTTTGTGAGCCTGCTAAGTTATTTTTTTCTTTCTCAATCGAAGTAAATAAATCAGCGGTATTAAAATTACCTAATGATGTCTTGAACTCAGTATTTATGCAGTCTTGAATTTTTCTATACGGTCTACTTTCCTCAATTGATGAACTTTCAACTCCTTTCCTAACGAAGCTATTCTTAAAAGTTACATTTTTGATAGCTTTGTTTCTAAAAGTAAAACGAACTATCGTTAACAAAATAAAAAATTCTAAAAAAATAAATCATTCTTTATCATACCATCATATAACCTGGCAGATTTTTAAATACTATATTAAATTTTTTACAGATAAGTTACAAATCATTTAAAACAATTTTTCGATGCATTTTTTTATTTGTTAAAATTTTACCCTACTTAACTTTCCATTATTTAAATGTAACAGATCCAAGCTTTACTAAATGCAATACCTTTAACTAAACATTACTAAAATAGGCAAGACTTGAAAAAAAGTATGATGAAATTTGATGATTTGAACCTTTCGAATTATAGAAGGTCGAATTAAATAGTATGATTTAAATAATCTTTCGAATTATAGAAATTCCCAGAGTTCCACTATATTTGGTATAGATAAAAAAATTTTCATGCGACAAACTTTTTACTGGTAAGTATGTTGGGATTGTTCACACAAGAAATACGGCGTCGTAAATAAAAACACGGCATCAGCGTCCAAGTTTAATAATAAAAATGTCAATGTTTTAGAGTTTTCAGTACAGTATCTAAGAAAATAATTGTTTTCAGTTAGAAAGAATTTATCTCAACGGTGACAAATAATAAGCTTTAACAAATACACTTAATTTTTCTCTAAGTAAGTTTTTTAAGTCTAAGTAAATTTCTATAAACATGATTTTCAAAAATATTGTAAAATGTTCTTTGAAGTTTGAGAATCAAAAATATAAATAAAAATAAATAAAAAAAAAACGTTAATATAATAAAGAAATAAAAAATTCAATGAATGTAGGGTTGAACCAAACATATTTTGATTTAACTTTTGAATCCAAGTGAAAATGAAAACAGAAAAACGCTAAAAAAATTTTTATAAATTTATTTATTCTATATTTGCATTCAAATCACATATTTTTTCAGATTAAATTCAGATCAAGAGATTTTTTTTAATAAAGTAACAATTATTGACTTGGTTATTTGCTCTTAATTTTTAGAGACGTTTTGAGCAATTTTACAATTTTAAATTTTTTTTTGCAGTACTATCGAGTACATAACTTTGTCCGTAAGCGTTTGTTTTGCATAAACTGGTGAAATCTAATTCATGGTTCAAACCATGAACTGATCTAACGCTTACTTACTTTAGAATTAAGATCTTTTATAATAATTTTTTTTTGCAGAGATGGAGAAAGTTTTATTTTGCTAATGCGACGTTTTTGTTTTATTTGTAAATAAACTTAAGTACGTGCTTGATGGCAACATGAGCTTTAGGTGGAACGAAAAGGCTTTGGTATGCTCTTTTAAAAAAACTGAAATCTTTTATTTAAAAAATAATAGAAAAATGTTTGACTGGATTTTTTTTAAATATTGATGAATTTTATTCAATTTTTTGAATTCATGCACTCAAAAAAATCTTTCCTTCCCAGTGGGCAACGGATTTAAAAAAGACGTCTTTTGAACGTTCAAAAGACGTCTAAAACGTTCAAAAGACGTTCAAAAGACGTCTAAAACGTGTATAAGACGTTTAAAAGACGTTTAAAAGACGCGTTTTTTACGTCCGTGCCCACTGAGTTGCAAAAAAATTTCCTTACCGCTATTTCCTCAAAAATTTCATTACCGTAGTAAAAAGTAATCCTTGATTTAAGGAAACTTATTTCCTAAACTCCAAATTTAGTAAAAACAAAGGAAATATTTCTAAGGAAATACGCTTTTATGGTATTCGATAAAAGTGTATTACGTTAAAATAATCTGCGCCTTAAGTGTTACAGTAATGGCGCTGATATCGTATGAAATGATAAAGATACATTATGTTTAAAAAGTTATTTATTTACGAAAATCATTGTTATTTTATTATAAGAAAAATTGTTTCCCAATCGTTAAAGAGAATTAAAAAAATTGAATAAGCTGGTATAATTATATAAAAGCCACATGTATATGTATATACACATACATGTGATTTTTATATAATTATACCAGCTTATTCAATTTTTCTTATATTATGGCAATACTATACTATACTTTACCATACTATGGCATACTATGGAATTCGCCATACCACAACAAGCATATGCATTGAACTTGGCTGTTAGGCTAGTAGGATCAAATATTCATTTACATTTTCTTGGTTAACCTAAGCTTAGAATTTAAAACTTATAAATTTTATAAGAATATAAATGTTTTACAGTATATATATATATATATATATATATATATATATATATATATATATATATATATATATATATATATATATATATATATATCCATAGAATAGCATGTTCAAAAACAGATTTTACATTAAAATGGATACTTACGAGGACATTAGCAGTATCGGGGACGTTCTAGTGTACTCGATAATTTTTTGTCCTCGTAAGTGGCGTTTTTTTTGTAAAAAAATGTCCCCGTAAATAGTTTTTATGCAAAGCGAAAAGTACATACATCAACTGACAAATAGCCTGACTTGCAAGGAAGTGCTGCTACATCTACTGAGGGTTTGGTTTGGCCAGGCAGCAAGGTCAGGCATAGGGTTAGGGTTAGGGTTAGTTATTTTAATAAAAATAATCGTTTTTGTAAATATATATATAAAAATATAAAATATAATAGATAATAATTAAATAAAAATAATAAAAATATTTATAAAAAATAAATTTTTTTACGAAAATAATAAATTTAAAAATGAATAAATAAAAATTGACATAAAATAAAAATATAAAAAAAAGAACATATATGAAAAATATAGTAAAAATAGAGATATAAAAATTGCGATTAACGGGGGAAAAAAAAAAAGTACCCGTAAATCAAGCACACACATATATATATATATATATATATATATATATATATATATATATATATATATATATATATATATATATATATATATATATATATATATATAGCTTATTTTCTTTGTCTTTGTTTTCTTAAGTTAAAACTAACTTAAAACTAATTTATAGCATAAACTATGAATATTTTAATTTTATAAGGAATCGGAAATGTCCTAGTTTGTGTTACATGTACTTTTTGTTTTATATTTAGCCTAGCACCGGCAATTTTATAGATGTTCCGCAATATTTGGCTCATCCAAAACTGTACCTTAAATATTTGCTGAACGATCTTAACATAACTGGGAGAACTGTGTGTAACTGAAAAGTTTGCTTGACTTAAATTTTGATGGTGGAATACTTGGATTTCATGTTTAAGGTGTTTTGGATATTTAATTTGGACGTTTTAGAGAATTTTTTGCAACTTCAAATAAAATTTAACTTTTGGTAAGAAACGAATGGTTGGCACCATCAACAATGTAGCTCAACTTTTTTAACTTTAACATATATTAACTAGTGATCACCACTAAAAATGTCTGAAAGATTGGCATAATTAAATGAATAAAAGTGTCAACAAACTTGTATAATTACTTCAGTTTTAAATGCTGCAGTTATTACATTGTATTTACTCGAATATTTGGCTGTGTAAACTACTTTTTAAATTTGTATGCATGAGCTGCATTTATTACATTGTATTCACTTGAATACTTCACTGTACAAGTGGCTGTGTTATTTTGCTCTTGCACAGTTATTATAGATTAATAATTTATTTTTTTGTGTAATATTTAGTTGTGTAAACAATTTAGTCTACTTTAATACTTGCAATCTTGCGACTTGTTTTCCGATAAGTTATTATTATATTAGCCATTTTGCTGTACACTTGTCACTTTTTGTGATTTGTGAATTTATTTAATGTGTTTGATTGGATAATTTTTTGGATCTTGTGTGGTACCCATCGAGCAACTATTTTGTAAATTAGCTTTAGTACATGTTTCAAAATAACAGCGTTGCCAAATGACACAATTTTGTTTTGAATGTAAGCGATTAAACAATTCTTTAATATTGTTTCTTGAAACCAGGAAATGCCCTTACTTAAATTTCTTAATGGCAGGAATAGCTGCCTTATTTATATTCTATGTTGTCAGTAAATTATCCATTAATTGCAACCCTTAATGTCAGTAAAAATTGCATTAATTAAATTCTCAATGGGAATATTGCCTAAATTACATTCCTTAATGGCAGCAAAAACTACCTTAATTACAATTCTCAATGAAAGGAAAAATTTCCTTTGATTATTTAATTACATTTAGGAATTTTTCATTTTTAAGAAAAATATTTACGTAGATATTTCCTTTTTACCAGCGCTGATTTTGAGGGATTACTTCCTTATTTTTTCCTTTAAAATTAAGGGAATTTCTTTTTGAGTGTGGATAAGTTATATTATATTTATATTGTTTAAATTGTTTAAATTGCTAGATTTGTTATCTGTTGATTTAACAAAAACAAGGAGTTGTCATAACAAAGAATTATTATCAAATGATAAAATTATTGGTTGGTTATTCTAAAAAGTATTTATAACTCTAACTGGAAAATTTTAATGAGCATTGTTTTTCCTCATTTTTTTTTCGTTGTTTTATTTCCTTTCATTGATTCATTAAAAAAATTTAACAATTTTTGTAACTTGTTGCAGAAAATATTGATTACTTTAAATGAGCACTTGAATCTCATAATATTTTATCTGTTATCTTAGGATTACCTAATTTTACTTACTTAGTACTTAGTTTCTAAAATTTTTTAAAGGTTTCTTAGCGTTATTTGGTTTCCCAACAAGACCAAAGAAATATCGATTTAGTAGAGTAAAACCAACAAAATAATTTTGAAATTTTAAAATTTAAAAATTTTACCTCTATTGCTTAGAGTGAAAGCGATACTTTGATAATAAGGCAACCCTAAAGTTTGTTTTACGTTTTCATATGTTTCTAAACATTCAAAATACTAAACATTCTCCTTATACTAAACATTCTCCTTTTCTTATTCAGGAAAGAGTTTCCTCTCTTAAAGAGAAAAGAACCCATCAGAAATTCTCTACAGAAATCTAAAGAAAGGTTGAGTAGCTAACAAAAGAAGTAAAACTTTTTTTTTCTATTTAACTCTCTCTTCATCCTCACCCTCAAGTCAAGATGAAT